ACAAGCCCAGTTGCAGTTGCCCATCCACACATGAGGATCCATAACAACTTCAGGGCCGACTCGCTGGATGTGATCTAGGACGACGGAGCATGCTGCCAAGACAGTAACTGTTTCGCACATCTGCCTGTCTAATCTCAACCCCGATGAGGTTAGTGAGTCCTTCTTTGGCTGTCCAAAGAAAGAGCCGGCGACGAGGAGCATCTCAATAGCCTTGTCGTCTGGTCGCCACGCCTTGGGGTGTCGCAAAGTCCGTAGCCCCCACTGACACGGAACTCTTGGCGACAGGTCATTTCTGGCAGAATAAATCAAGTCAAGTCTGAACAGCAGGGTTTCATGACAGATGGTTAGCTGCGGGTCACCAAAGACCGAGTCGGGGCTTGCGCAAGAAAGAAAAGCCTTACAGGGGAAGAACGATACTAAACAAAGAACCATTGATCGCAGTCATGCCGCCGCTTTGTTCGAAGAGTTTGACAAGCATATCCATGTGCTCCTTCCCAAAATGGACCCAAGAGTAAATCTGCATGTCTCGACACTTTGCCAAATACCCAATGGGCACTACCGCTTCTTCCCTCCCACCTTCGAGGCTATCTCCGAGCGACGAGGAAACATCGATACTATCGTGCACGGCGAGGGTGAAAATCGTCATCATAAGAGCATCGGGCACAGGTTTGGACGGATACCTTAGCTGCACGTCAACCTCACTCCGTAGCTTCTCTATGGCCAGGGCCTTACTGCGCTGTCGTATGGTAACCAATGGATCCGCCGAAGACAGGGCGCCGCGACGCTGAAGTTGGTAGTGGGAAGATGCTGCGAAGATCTGAGCGTAAAAGGCGGCGCGGGATTCCATCGTGCATCTCATCCATGCCTGGACAAAATCGTCGCCCCAGACTGCCCAGCTTCTCGTGTACGCTAAAGTCCTCAATCTCATGGTGATTCGTTAGCAACCCGTCATCATTTGCACCGGCCGTAATAGAATCAAGTATTATAGGATCCACTTTCTCACCATAATTAAGCATAAAACGCTCTGTCTTGGATACTTGCAGAACACTGAGTGCATTGGAAGGGTCCCAGCTTCTTGAGCTCGGTATACGCTCTAGTCTTAGCTGTGATGACCGTCTCAAACGTATTCCCTCATTCTTCTGTGTCGGGTCAGCAGAATGAGAAGCCCGAGTCTGTACGCAGCCGCCCCTTTTACCGCCGTGGGCAACCATCGCTTCTCGCCCCGCTATGAGTGGACGAGGGGTCAGAACGCCTCTAGCATGCCCAGCATGAGCCCCGGCATGGCGAGTAGAATTGGGTCGACCAGGGGCTACGCAGGAAGATTCTGGGTCACGCGTGGTCACCGGCAGGAGCGCTGCCCACTGTTCCATGGAGCGAGGTCGCCTTCGGGTACCTGACGATGTTTGTCTATGAGTGTGACTCGTGGAGAAAGAGGAGGTTTTGTCTTTAGCCCCCTAATTTAGTAATTAGTTCAAGACTCAGGATACGAACCGAAATACGTGGCGCAAGACGCTACTCTACTCCCAGGTATGATCTACATCCTTTTCCAAATCTGTGGCTGAGGCCAGTGCGTTTAGCTACGTACAATTCGACGCCTTTGTCCGCATCTCCTACAAGCCCTGCCTTTCCATCCGCTTGTTTGTCCGGTTTCAGTTTTAGGTATGCTCTACTAGGGTGGTTATGAATGGGACCAAGCCAACCTTTTCTTCAATTGAAATAAGTATGTCTTGGGTATTCTTCACGGTTTCCTAATCGACTTTTTTGTACGTTCCATAGCCCATCCATAGCCCCTCTACAAGACAGCGCCTTGAATCAACACCTCAATGACGGTATACCAATTGAAAATGCCCTAGATTGCCCATATCCTGCATGCTGTGACGCAGAGCCGCCTTTAGCCGCCCAGAAGCAATCAGCCAGAGCTCATCTTAGGGGCCGCGCTTGTACCCTCGGTGATGAGTTACAGGTACTGACGGCAGCAGAGGATATTCCTCATTCTGAGCCTTTCTCCCCTTTCCACTATCACTACTCACCAGCCATTAGCTGCCGAGAAAGCCGCTGCTGAGAAACCCCCCTCGTCCGGCCATATCAAGACAAGTGGTTCATCATCAGCCTTCAATATTGCGTTCCGTATTTTTACCGATCGTGGCACGACGCCCTTCCTATGCCAAGGGCAATGATCACGAGTATCGTGCATCGGTTCATGGTCGCAATAAACAGTAAATTACAGAAAGTACCCTGCTGCCTAGACGATCGGCACAATGGACATTAGTACGAGAGACCGACTTTTGTCACTCCTTTAGATAAAAATCAAGCGCTCGTATTGGTCTCAATTGTCCATCAGTGCGTGCGACATCACCCTTCTTGGGCGAGACCAATTTTGGGATCGCGTCCTCTCATGGGGCACAGCTGTGGTATTTACTTGTTGGAAAATGGCATAGTCACGCATTACAGACCTTCTACCTGTAGGGATAGGGTTCGATTTCTCAAACTAGTCTTGATGCTAGTCTCCTATATGTCCCAAGTTTTCTGGTTCATTTTATGTTTCTCCTGCATGAATCAGATACACAATGGCATCATCATCATCGCCTAACAACTCCTCCTCCCCTCAAATTCTCTGTCAGCCATTCACCGACCCACCAGTGAGCCGGCGATGCTCCTCTACCCTTCACCTCGACCAGCCAGCTCCTTTTCCAACCCAATTCCAGTTTCTCCACGCAATCTCTTCCAACTCAAACGACCCTGGACTTCGCCTAGGTAAAACCGAATGACCGACAAATTTCCACACTGCAACCAACAGGGAGTGCGCTCCAACGGCACCAAGTATCCTCAAGGGACAATACTTAGTTGTAGTTGATCAAACCATTTCCTTTGGATGGTCCCCCTCCTGTTTAAAGATCGTAAAAATCACTACGCTTATGGCGGCGACCAGGATAAGGAGGAGGTGGTGGTGACGGAGGATAAGGAGGTGGCGGTGGGTATGGTGGTGGTGAACCTCCCTTGCGCTTAAGACCCTTTCCTCTTGTTCTAAGATACGAACGCTTGTGTTTGCGGCCAGGGTAGGGAGGTGGTGGTGGCGATGGAGAATAAGGAGGCGGAGGAGGATATGGTGGTGGTGAAGGTGGTGGTGAAGGTGGTGGCGAACCTCCCTTGCGCTTAAGACCCTTTCCTCTTGTTCTAAGATACGAACGCTTGTGTTTGCGGCCAGGGTAGGGAGGTGGTGGTGGCGATGGAGAATAAGGAGGCGGAGGAGGATATGGTGGTGGTGGTGAAGGTGGTGGTGAAGGCGGTGGTGAAGGCGGTGGTGAAGGCGGTGGTGAAGGTGGTGGCGAACCTCCCTTGCCCTTCGGGCCCTTTCCGGGCTTCGCTCTGATCTCGAGGTCGAGGTCTCGCTCCACGGCCCCGAGGGCAAACTCTTCAACTAGATCACGGGGAAGGCGTTCAGCTTCAAGACCTCGCTCTCGGAATCCGGAGGAGACGCTGCCCGTGTCTGCCCAGGTAGCTGAACCTAGATTGGCCATGCCAATCAACAGCGTAATAGCGGCCCCAATACGTATGAGAGCAACCATCTTGAAAGAAGGAAGGCTAACAGAGTATGTTAAAGTTTTCCTTCATGACCTTGCGGTCTCTAAAAATAAGAAAAGAAGCAGCAGAAAAGACTGCGACGAAGTTTTGAGTAGTGGAAAGAAAAGTTAAATAATGAATGTTGATCGTGTTGAGATAAATGGTCCTTTGCTTGAGGAAAGCGATGCTTTTATGGACTCGAATCTAGCCACAACGCTTGCAATATACACCTCTTCATCTCACACAAGTTACTTTCTGTTCAAGCCTTTATAACATCTTAATAATACAACGTCTTGTCTCCTACGCCCCTCGCAATGTATCTAAATTTATACTCGGTGTCACCTCTGGGGATACTGCCTTACTCTTCAGCCATTTCATGTTACGAAAGCTATAGTAATGAATCAAGTCCAAGTGGCCAGAGTGGTTCAGTAGATGTCATGGAATCGAGCCCAATTGAAGGAAGAGTTGGATTGGCAGAACCTCAATGCTAAGTAACTCCAGCATGTCGACTCCAAAACTTGCAAGTCAAAAATCCGATGTAGGGAACAACGGCAAATTGATCGCAGTTTACGCTTCGCTCGCTTGGCATTTGACAATAAGGCTACTCTGCTCTTACAATTATGCAGCAAAACAATTCCGTCACACCCTGAATCCCTTCAAGTTCAGATTCACATGCCTTGTCCAAATTGGGCGATTTAGACGAGTCTTACACGACGCGGTCAGGTCATTCGAGAGTACGATATGATTTGTAAGAAGCTCAGCCTAAGCCGTAAGCATCCTCCTGTTCCTGCACTCTCAAATTTAGATTTGAGGCAATAGATCCGGTGCAAGACGAGAATACAAGATTACGAGCTGCACAATGGACCAGACTTAACTCCAGTAATCGCTGTCTCAACGAGCTTGTTATGCCGTGGTGTTAGTAATATGTAATCAAATTAGGCCCCTGTCTCAGCTCGCTTCCAGGAGGAATGAAACGCCGCTGGCCCTTTCCAGGGGTGCGTTTCCGTGCCGATATCATCAAAAACGGATACTGCAGTGTACGGCTCACCGGCTCTCATTCTGGCGGAAGCACAACTGGCCTTGCTCCATCTCTTTGCCCAACCCCCCTTACTATAGCGAAAGCCCTCAAGTAAGCGGGGAGGCAAGAGTCCCCTGATTCTCACCCAAGGCTCCTCGAAGGAGCTGAACTTTGCCGTAGTTTGGGAAGGATGAAAGCCACTCAGCAATCCCTTAAAGTCAGCTTTGCAAAATGATGCTCGGGCCAGCCTTGCAATCCGAAACCGTCGACGAACTGTGGGGGCGAGTAGGCTGCTGCTTAAATTTGCCGCCAAGGCAGATGTATCATGCATGGAACAAAGTCCAGGCATCGTTACCCCTCATTCTACGCCCAACCATCACCCAAACGCACACTCTTGAGAGTATTGCTTGCGGTATACACTATGTCGGCCAAATTAGAAGAGCAGTGCTACTCGGAGACATTCGTTTCTCCCCAGTGGCTTCCTGGTGGCAAGTCGTTCTGGTATCGCCGGATGGTGCATCGCGAGCACAAGGTTGAATTTATACTGGTTGACATTGCCAAGCAGTCTATTCAGGCGGCATTTGACCATGAATATTTGGCCGAACAGCTACAGAAGCACTCAAAGGCTCCTATAGATCAACGGTATCTGCCCTTTACCTGGATTGAGATTGAAGACAATCTTGTCCGATTCCGATTCCAAGGGCATATATGGCAATATGAAAGCCAAAAGTCTCTGTTGACTTGGGATGGCCAGTTCACACAGGGAAATCCCGCCGTGGCATATAGACATGGGCTCTACGACCAACCCGCTACACACGTCGGCGCCTCTGTTACTTTCATCAACAACACAAGATCCGAACTGGATGTGTACTTTGTCAAGCCAAAGGGTGAATCAGTACGCTATATGACTTTTGCGCAAGGACAAGCATTCATCGAAAGATCCCATGTTGGTGTTGTTTGGAAATTTGTGGGTGAAGAAAGTAGGGTAAAGGCCATTTATCGTGTACCCGATATACGACACGATACCGTCATCCTTGGCGATATCAACATCGATGAGTATATGGGCACCTACGAAGACCGCCTCCCCGAAGGATGGGAAGAACAAGTGACCGAGACTGGCCGCAAGTATTATATTGATCACAATACGAAAACCACATCTTGGCGCCTTCCTTCCAATTCTCTTGTCGCGAAAGATCACAGAGGCGTGTCTGATGACAAGATGGAGGGACACAAGTCGAACCAGGAGACGAATGATCAAATAAATCCCAAGAATGTCGGCGACAACGAACCTGAAATTTTCGTTCGTGAACATCGAGTCTGGCTAAGGAGTGCTGAGGGAGACGAGATCCCCCTCTCTGGCGATGGTACTGAAGAATTGCCTTATGATAAACACACAATAACTACATCCCCCAACAAACATCTCACAATCGTTTGGCAATACATGGATGTAGTTAGCAGGAGCGTTTCCTACAGCATCAATTATATGCCAGACGACCAATTCTCTCCAAAGCTCATTAAAACGCCGACAGATCTTCCCGGTGATCCCATACGCATTAACCGCCCTCGGCTGTTTAGTCACACTGCTAAACGTGAGGTGGACACTTCTGACCATCTGTTCTCCAACCCATTCTCCATATACGAGATTGGTTGGAGTCGAGATGGGGACGAGTATTATTTTCTGTACATCCAGAGGGGTCATCAATGCAGGAGGATAATCGGCATGAAATACGATGGCTCTATCCGCGTCTTGCTTGAAGAGACAAGTCCGACATTTCTTGACTTGAGAAAACTATACTACTATTACCTGTCACCGGATAAATTGATCTGGGCTAGCGAGAGAGACGATTTCAACCACCTCTATCTCATTGACCTAGAAAGCGGCCGGATCCAGAACCAGATCACGAAGGGGCATTGGAACGTCCAATCCGTTGAGTATGTTGATGAGAATAAAAAGGCAATTTGGTTCTCAACATACGGTTACTGGGAAAACCAGGACCCTTATCATGTTCATCTTGCCCGTGTTCATTTTGACGGATCCGAATGTACATTATTAACAGAGGGCGATGGGACTCATTCATGGAGTTACCCATGGCCTACAGATGGCCGGTACTACTTTGTCGATACGTGGTCACGGGTTGATCTTCCACCACAAACCGTCGTCCGATGCTTTGAGACGGGAGCCTTCCAGTTTAGCTTGGAGACTATGACAAGTCAAGGTCTCCTTGATCTTGGATGGGATCCAGCAGAGAGATTCCATGCACTAGGCAGGGATGGAAGCACGGAAATCTACGGCTTGATTATCCGGCCGCCAAATTTCGATGCCCATAAAAATTACCCCATAATTGAGACAATATATGCCGGTCCGCAGGATTTCTACACCATCAAGAGCTTCAGTCGTATTTCTCAGCAGCGTCAATGGGCAGAGGAAGGATACATTGTTGTCCAGATTGATGGCATGGGGACGAACTGGCGATCCAAGGCATTTCATGATATATGCTACAAGAATCTCAAAGATGGTGGTTTTCCAGATCGCATACTATGGATGCAAGCAGCAGCAAAAACAAGACGTTGGATGGATCTGTCCCGCATCGGCATTATGGGTTCCTCTGCTGGAGGGCAAAATGCAGTATCGGCACTACTACATCACGGAGATTTTTACAAGGTAGCAGTCGCCGATTCCGGCTGCCATGATAATCGCCTAGATAACTATCTTTGGAATGAACAGTGGATGGGCTACCCAGTTGACGAATCTTACGCTCATAACTCCAACATATCACACGCGGAAAAGCTCCGTGATGATGGAAAACTCTTACTACTTGCTGGAGGCTTAGATACTGTTGTGAACCCGGCGTCCACTATGCGGTTGGTTCAGGCGCTAAATAAAGAAAGGAAGGATTATGAACTACTATTTATCCCCGAAGGCGGCCACAACTGCGGTTTGAAGCTTGGGGCGAGGAAAGTGAAGAAATTTCTGAGACAACATCTGGCGCCTTGAGTTACAGATAGCTGATTTTCTGTTTCCCAAATGCAGACGTCTATTCTAACATCTAAAGGTGGAGTATAGTATCACAATGGTCGCTTGAGTGTGGCACTCCTACATAAAACTCTAATGCTATTCTTTTTTTCATGGAGATTTGAGATATGGAGAGCGAAATGGAGGGACTCCCACTTCGTAGAAATTTGCTGGAAGCCAAGATATGGGGTATCGCTAAGGTGTTTTGGCCAAAAGTTCTCTCTAAATGGCACTCTCTTCATGTTGTCATTTGCAATCAGGCCCCTTTTAGAAGCCTCGCACGATTGATCTCGGGGTTCAAACTTGCCTTTAGCTACGAACTGAGTCTGATCTTCTAAGCTAAATCTAACATACTGGCACCAAGATGCGTTAGATGAATGGACTGGAAGGGATGCGATGAGAGCGAATATAAGTTGTAGACAGTGCCGGCTCAACTCCCTCCATAATACCAGCACAATCCATTTGCAGCGCGTGGTCCTGTCACACAGCACCAATCTCTTACTTCACAATATTTCTAAGGAATATACAACTAATATATAGAATAATCTATGTTCTTGGTCGAATATTAACACATGGCTATATACTTCATTATAAAATCATTAGATCAGGCAGCCACAGCTACGAATGGACTGGTAGGAGAAATATTTACTAATCATCGACGAGGTCAGCATGCTCGGTGCGAGGACATTACACGCCGTGAACGAGCAGCTCTGCAAGTTTCGGGGGAGCAGGCAAGACTTTGGCGGCATTTCCATCGTCCTCTTCTACGGGGATTTCCATCAATTCCGTCCCGTTCAGGAGAGGTCGATCCTTCTTCCAAGTACATCCACTCCGTGGGACGAAGAGAAAACGTTCAGAATGGAACAGAGGTACCAGCACGACAAGGCGCATGCGCTGTGCTTGAGCTATTTCAGGCAGTAGCTGTTTTAACTGTGCCAAAAGGTGAGCGTTCATTACGGTTATCTTTTTCTTATTTAGGAAGATAATCTATAGTGTACTAAAGATCAATTTTCGTAAATAAAAATTAAAGAGCAACGGCCGCTTCAAAGAGATATATCAGGTTCTAAGGATGGAGGTTAGGGTATGGCCTTTGAGATACTAATGCTCCCAGAATGCGAGGACATGATGGAATCCAGTGCTGTCTAGTAGGTATGGTCGTAGATAATAGATCGTGAGGGTTTATGGTTTTTATGGCTGTGGTTGAGTCATCGGAGAGTCCGTGGTGTGGTATCGTGATTCAAAACCAAAATCAGTGAACAAGACCAACTCTGCCAGCTCAACCCACCACTCTCTGTCACAGACCCAAGAAATCCTTGCGTCAATCGAATATCATTCATTATGATAGCTCATCACTACACAATATTATCTGTGAAGTGCTGCTGGACGCTATTGGGGGCAAGGCAATGCATTCGCGTCAATCCGGTGAGTGGCTACAGGGTAGCTGTGATGTATTGGAAGTGCGGAGGGGAACATATCAGAATGCAGGAGCGACCCACAATAACAGCACTAGATGTGACAAAGCAATTTGGCGCAGTGGAAGCGCGGTATGTGTGACCCACATCTTCCCAATCTAGAATTTCTCACTAACTCGTCCCAGCCGGGCTCATAACCCGGAGGTCCTACGATCGAAACGTAGAATTGCTATATCTGGCTTTCTTTTTTTGCGTTTTTTTCTTATGATTCTACCGATTGAAATGCTTCTCCTTGATATAGCTGATGCTTGCAATTTTTTCAGTCGTTCATTTTAGCAAATACTCTCATTTCCGCTCGTGTCTTTTGGCCGTATTGAATGCTAGAATCAATGAAGGTGAAACGACATCGCAGGTACATCATCTCAAATACAGACTCGTAAAGCCACCGATTTGGTAGGTGATTGGGCCAATATCAATCAGATTCTCCGGAAGGCCTCCATCCATGAACCTGGCGAACCTGACAATAATCTTGGGTTTATACTTTAGTACACGCCGATAGGTGTAGGACCTTCCCACATTGAGACCAGTGTTTGTCTCTCGCCCTTCCAAGGTTCTCTGCCATGAGACACTTGATAGTTATCCACCAAGCGAAGATCCCCTTCTTCAAAGGGAAGATGAAGTCTTCCTTGTCGATCACCTCAATCAACTTGTCGAGATACTTTCGCGGGATGGGAATCTTATCACCATAAACGCAAGGCAAGTCTGTTGTAAGAGCATGTCAAAATGTTAGCCTCAGACCCCTGTTTCGCCTGAGAACTCACACGTCATTCCATCGCGGCCTATATGGGCAGGATACAAAGCACCAATGTCCCTTGTGATTCCATGCCGCCCAACAAGCCCGTTGAACCAGGTTGGCCTCCCGCTGGCCGGATCTCTTCGAAGTCCTACCACATTTCACTCCTGTTAGCTGATGTTGCAATATAATTTGCAATATAATGTGGATACACCGGCTAAGTTCAATACCGGGAATGTGCTGCGTAAGCTCTAGGCCGCCGTCATCGTTCCATTTGAAATCGGATGTCAGTCTATGAACCTGCTTCTCCACCTTGAGCTTTCCTAGTCGTTTCGTCATCTTCGGGAAGAATCTCCTGCCCGAAGCTAAACTTTCCAGCCCAGTTGAAGCCATTGTGTAAGCATTCGCTACCTGGGGCTCGGAAGACTATTTTCATGCCCAGGCCCCGGTTATGCACCTCCTTGACGAGGTCTGGAATCTTTGCCTGCACTTTCTCGAATACGTTGGCGCTATGTGTAATAGTGACCTTCCTCCTATTGAATCCTTTTAATCTTTAGTTTTGGAGTGACATTCAAGAGCATTAGAATTAGGTAAAGTAAATCAGATTGGCTTTGCATACCCTCAGGGGTTTTCTTTACACAATAAAAATGAATGTTGGATGGAAATCGAGTGTATCGCGAGTAGGTACTGTCCCAATGAGTATGATTCTATAGACTATGAATAATTTGGAAGTAAATCATGTGGCAATACTCCTCGCCTCGTTATACTGGTAGAAACGGACCAAAGACGAGCCCTCGTTAGCAATCCAGACGTTCTTGGCCACCTCATTCCTCTTGCCAATCAGGCCAATTTGCTCATGCGGGTGGTAACCTCGCGCTTGTTCGGTGGTACTGACTAGTTCGGCAGAGGTCTCCGCTGAAGGCTGCCCATACCCGCGGATAAGAACGGCGCCGCCGTACTGGTCTAGTAGTTCCTGGATCTTGCCCGATGCGGCATGCTCCCGGAGAGCTTCCACCGAATCCTCCACCGGTGGAGGAGCACCGGTGCTAGCCTTCACCTGGAGCCCAAAGGGAAGGTCATTGCTATGGATAGTAGGTCCGCGCACCTGGCACGTCAAACGGTTCAAAGGTGAGGATATGGAACTTGCGCAAGCAAAAAACTGATACCAGCACAGGGGAGGAGGTTGTGGATATAAGAGTCAGGGTGCTTGAAGTTTCACTGCTTCTACGGAAGTTGGTTGCCGGTAGATAGATGAACTAGGGTGAGAGACCCTCTTTGAAATCACGACAAGGTGAGCGACCAGCACGCCATCAACCAGCGCGTCCAATCAGCCGCACCTTTAATAGAATGCTTCTGGAACCTTTGAGCAAATAAAAATTAAAGCCGCGATTAAGAAAGGTCCGGGCTCCCCATTGAGCGGCACGACAACCGAATGATAACCTTACCGTTAGTCATGGCAACGTACATGGAGCCAGTGACGTGATCCGGAATTTGTATTGCACCACGAACAGATCAGCAGTAGGTGCCGTACCTGCCGCGAGAAATGTCCGTGAAGATAGCATAGTCTGAGTGGTATATTAGCTATATCATGGCCTGTTACAATGATGCTCTGGCCAGATGGTTAGCCTGTTCAGATTTCGGCCTCAAAGACTAGTTTCCTACAGCTACAGAGGTGCCCAAGGGGATAAAAAAGATGGGAGAAAAAGACGAGATCACCGCTGTTCAAGGTACATTCTACCAGGAGAACCTACACCCTTGTTCTCTCTTGACAAGCTAACATTATGCAGCGGCCCCGGATCTGCAACCCACCACCAGCGGCAGCGATGGATCCGAAAAGCGAGGTTTTCAGAACATCAAGGAGGAGAACATTCTGCAAGAGCGGACAATCGGGCTCTTCGGCGCAGTGTCGCTCATTGTAAATAAAATTGTTGGCGCTGGGTAGGTTCTTTCTTCTCCCTTCTTTGTTCTTGGTTTAACCAAATCCCGGGATGTAGTATCTTCTCAACTCCATCTGGGATCTTGAAGACATCCGGAAGCGTTGGAATGGCCTTGATGTGCTGGATCATAGGAGCTGTCATCGCAACTTCTGGAGCGTTTGTGATGCTCGACTTTGGCACCGCCATTCCCCGGTCTGGAGGTCTTAAGAATTATCTTGAGAGAGCATTCCACCCTCGGTTGCTGCAAACATGCATCTACGCCTTCTACTGTGTCTTCCTCCGTAAGTAATTTTCGATCTAATTTCGCATTCCAACCCATACATTTTTCGACTCAACATCTTAACTGGATAACAGAGGTATCGGCCAGTAATGCGATCACATTCGCTTCTTATAATCTTGTCGCTGCCGGAAGTGAAGAGACGACATGGAAGCTCCGTGGAATCTCAATTGCGGGCGCGGCCTTCTCTGTCGGGATTCATATTGTTGCCCCCAAGTACGGGAGATGGCTACAGGATTTGCTCTCCGCAGTCAAGCTTTTCACCCTCCTCTTCATCTGCTGCTGCGGATTTGCAGCTTTGGCTGGGCATCTCAAGATTGAAAAGCCCAATAACTTCACCAACGCATTCGAAGGCACATCTAACAGTGGCTATAACATCGGAACGTCGATTTTAAATGTTATTTTCTCGTACAGTGGCTATGATAACCTCAACACGGTATGTCTATCTATAACGGACTAAACACTTAACTCCCAAGTGAAGCGAGTTGCTGACATTGCTGTAGGTCTTGTCAGAAGTCAAGAATCCAGAGAAAACCCTGAAGAGAGCGCTGCCATTGTCCATGATTTCTCTCACTATTCTGTACATGTTGGCCAATGTTGCATATGTAAGTTCTTGCATTTTCAAATGTTCGTCAAACAAAACTGATATCATGATTTCAAGTTCGCTGGGGTCCCACGAGACGAGTTTATCGCAGCAAAAGTCACTGTCGCAGCCAGCCTTTTCAGGAACCTTTTCGGCGAGTCCGCAGCAAGCAAGGCCATGCCGGCATTAGTGGCTCTCTCCGCTCTTGGACATTTACTTGGAATCGCTTTCACGATCCGTATGTCTCCCAAGCAACTAAGCTTCTGAGTGAAAGCTAATGATGTTATAAGCACGAGTTATTCAAGAATTAGCAAAGGACGGGATCTTGCCATTCTCTAACATGTTCATGCAGAACAAACCCTTCAGAACTCCGATCTGGGCTCTTCTTCACTTGGGCGTTACGATCATCTTCATCTGTGCTCCTCCCGCCGGTGACGCGTTTTCGTTCATCGTAAGCTTGTCAACCTACCCAGGCGTGGTAATCTTGACAGCCATTACGGTTGGCTTAGTGAAGCTTCGCCTGTCTCCGAAGGAGAACTTCGTATCTCCTCAACGAGCGCCATGGGCTGTTGTCATCGTGTACTTGGCAGCGAACACAGTGAGTTTTTTCTGCTACAAGGAAAATATGTCCGTAATCTGTTCTATGTCTCACAATTTCTTTGTTTAGTTTCTGTTGGTCATGCCCTTTGTTCGGCCGCCTAATGGAAAGGGTAACACTTACCTGCCGTATTGGCTATCTTCTGTCGTCCCCCTTGGTATTCTATCACTAGGGATTATCTACTATCTTCTCCGATGGGTGATTTTCCCCAAGGTATTCCGTTACCGGATTGAAGAGGTTCAGGTGGAGCTCAGCGATGGATCAAAGATCACCAGATTCAAGAGAGTCTAATAGATTGCGAAGGCATGGCTTTTGATACCACCATTCCCCTTAGTCTTTTAGCGCCTTTAAATTAATGGAATTAAAAGCACATTTTGAAGAGATGGAAATGTATCCCTTTGTCGTCTGATGTATTCATTGCTCAGTGGTTCTTATTCACGTGTAGCACAACAAGGTCCTTCCCTTGCACTCAGCTGATTGGGTGACATTTCGTCTTGTTGAGGCACTTTGGGCACTCCGGTTTCACCTAACCCTACTGTCAAATTCTGCATTAAGGGTCAATAACATACGAGTGCAGTTTGCAATACACTTGGTTTGGATTGGTTGTTGGAAATATATAGTGTTGGCGAAATATCGCTTGCCAAACAATGGTAATGAGTTACAAATTTTTGGATCGCTAAGCACACTAGTTCATTGTTTTCTGAGTCAACCATTATGATGCAGAGATTACTTGAAACCTTTTTTTTAGTCATTTGGTAGTTCCAGTAACAAGGGTTCTAATTACATCCTTTTCAACCGCTTGATCGCAATTACCATATCTCATGCTTCTGAACGTTGACACAGCCGCTAGAACAGAGTCAATCTCAGCAAATTCGAATGCCTGAACTCTTGTTTCAAACCGTAATTAATGAAATGAACATCCTTCAATTTACTAATAGCCTAATGGAGCATCCTACACATTGAGAATGCGCAGATAAGTGACATCGCATTGTTCAGATGCAATTTGTGTGTAACTTTCTATTGCAAAGCAATGTCACTGCCCTACAGTACAAGTGAATCATGAAAGCCTTCCAACTATTTAAAGGTTGAATCATTCTTATTTCTCTTAGATTGAAGTTCTAAATAACTCCTATTAACCGAGAGGAAAGTGGAAAGAAGAAAATAGTTACTATCAACTCTTTAGTTTTTCAGATGTATGCCCAGGACCTAACCGCCGGATGGACCTCATTCCGAGGCCTGTCACCGTCCTTGAAGAGAAGGGTCCGGCCGTGCCTTGCGAGGCTTGACAAGACGCCAGCCCTCGAACAGGCCAAGATGACTTTTAGCAGGGAGTTCGAAGAAAGGAAAAATGCATTCTCAGCAGGTCGGAAGTGGCTTTGCATCCAGCTCCTATCTAAACCGAAAGAAGGCGAGAAAGATGGCCTCGAAACCATCTTGCGCGTCAGAATACCTCCCGCGAGAGATAGGATTCTCAGTGAATCATTCAAGGAAAATGAAAATACCGGGTTCTTTCGTGAACGAAGCAACGCTAGGATATTAAGAGAGCACGTGAAAAGCGTCCGGATACCGACGATCTACCACATCTCTCCATGGGGCTCGCCGAACGCCGAAAAAGCCGGATATCCCTTTATGCTGATGGAATGTGTGGGTGGTAACAAGCTGAAGGACGTTTTGCGGTGCAAGGGGATCGCGTCATTCTCGAATTTGAGTGTAAGGACGCTCCGAGTTCTCCGTATCCACAGCCTTACTCTGATTTAATAAGTACTGACAGGCTTATAGACAGCGATACAAGACCACATTATGTCTCAATGGGCTGCCGCGGTCGTGGACCTGTCCACGCTTAGATCGAATTACATTGGACCTCTCGCAACCCAACTTCCCATTTCTGGCATCACCAGCCATATCTGGTGGGGTAACCCGGCGATCCTGTATTGGTCTACCGACTCTCAACATTTCGATCGCCCCTTGGAATACTTTAGATCCGGCTTGAACCAAAGAATTGAAAAGCTCAACACGGCCAGAGTGGAACAATATGGGTATTACCATACAGATGTCACAGCGGAGTTCCTCGGCGTACTGTTGTTTATGGATATCTGCCGGCAACATTTCGAGAATGGGCATGAGACACCACTCGTTGGGTTACCGGTGGTGCATAGAACACTGACTGAGAGAAACATCTTGATGGATGATGAGTTCAACTTTGTGGGTCTCGTGGATATGAAAGATGCACTCATTCTGCCACAAGAACTGCAAGAGTCGCACGTCTGGGACTGCTGGACCAGCGATGATTCCAAGGCCAAGTACCATTCTATGCTTCTTAGAGCTGAAGAGAACGCGAGGAAGAAAGGACACGAAGTCTGCTTCCCCCTCAGTGCGGTAACGGATAACAAGCTCAAAACAGGCTTCAAGTTGTATAATAATCTGGGGGTGAATCCGCCAAACGATCCCGCTATTGTGATGAAGCTTTTAGATTTGGTTCGAAAACCAGACCCCTATGATCCAATGCACTATCTTGCTGCAGCTGTTGCTAATCATTGGTCTTGTTTTTACGGGATTGCTGCGGCTTGGGCGCACGACGGAGAGACGGGTAGAATGGCATTTGAGGCTGCCGTAAGAGCCATGGGCCTTTGAGAGGATGGCAGCCGGTACACTGACTCGACGGAGGAAGATTTACGGTCACAGTCTACATGCAATATTATCGAGTATAATCTTTCGGGAATAGCTAGCCAGTTTATTGTCTTCGAGGATAAGATCAAGGTAATGCAATCAAAACTGAAAAATACGCTTAATATGTTGTGATGAGAAGATGGAATCACTCCTAGAATGATAGGAGTTAATCTACGGTTAAGCCACGTGAGGGTTCTGTAGACACGTGGGACGCATATGAAGATGCTAGAGACACGTGGGGAGCATTCCTGATGTGCATCGATGAATGGCTTCGTAGCAAGTAGCCGACTTGATTTGTTACCGGGAGCTTGGGAAAGGATTTTGGCGCCAAATGGCCGGAGTTGATGCTGAGGACGTTCACTGGTCGGTTGACTCAGACTTTTGGGTCCGCTTCCACATCAAAACGCCTTATTTCAAGGGCTACCGAGGGGGAGGAATGTTGTTAGACTATGGGATCCCACGTGCATCTAGACCAACTGTGTAGCCATAACAAAGGGTGCGAGGGCAGGGCAGTGGTGGCTCAGTCTCAGTTGTGAAACGGCCAAACTCTCATCTACGGCGCATCCGGAAGATGTCCAACTGTTCAAGCCGACAGCATTAGAGCATGCACCATGACGGAGATGTGGCGTAGTTAATTCATCTTATTCCAATCATTCAACGTGAGAAGGACTCACGCTAGCTGAGGATGGTAATTCAGCGTTGCCTACATTCCATTCCAAGGCCCGAGAACCCAATGGTCCGGAACGGACCCATCTACATTCCAACCGACAGTTATGGTTCACCATGTGCTAGAAACACTTGGCGGATGGGCTTGAGCCAGGCGGCACATTTCGATCTCGGCCTGAAATTCTGGGGTTATTAGCCTGTAGGCCTCCCGTGAATATCTAGGAGCAAGCCTGATCGTGGCAAATTCGAGAAGGAAGCAATAGACTTTATAATCCACCAGTTGGGCCAAGGCCGAGTACAGAGCGTAATCACTGGCGATATCCGATAATCTTTGCTCTATATCGACAAAGTGCTGTGATACATGCACAGCGCATTGCCTCCTGAGCCTTAGATGGTACACTGAGGCCTTCTGATACTCTGGGAAATACGAGCTATATCGACAAATAGTCAATATGACAGATTGGTCCCCGCCGCCTGATTCGCAGGGTTACATGCTCAAGAACCTTAACATCTCCCTTATCGTTGCTTCTTCTGTCATATTAATCGCCAGATTGAACACTCGGGCATTTATACTCAAGTCTCTGGGTGTGGATGATTTAATAGCAACCGTCTCATTTGTATGTAAACGCTTTGCCACATCGTACACCGATTTTATTAACAGAGTTCCGGCGCCCCTTAGATTTTACTTGTCGCATATTCATTAATGATCGTTCGAGGTATGTGATGCTTCTCTTACTTACTCAATTCCTTGCGTCTTACCTGGAAATAGCCGTGGGTAACGGGGCTGGGACTCACACAGATCAAGTCCCACCTGAGCAGCTTGCCGAGTTCTTCAGAGTAAGTAAAGCTATATTTTTGATCCAATCAAACCTTTGACGGCAAGTCTAATCCGGCTTTCACAGTCTCTGCCTACGATACAACTGTTATTTATCGTAGAAATCGCGATGGTACGCTTCTCTGTGATTGCCTTTTACTCGAGGTTGCATAACGACAGTTCGTTCTCCCAAAGACTCCTGGCATTATCCTGGGAATGGTGCTAATTCAAAAACTTGCAGGATGGTACCGCTGCGGTTTATTTGTCTTAGGCTTCATCAACTTCGCCATGACAATGGTTGTACTCTTCTTATTTCTCACGGAGTGCAAGCATATTCCGTACGTATTCTCTTACTGCCGTCAAACAGAGCGGTGTCTGACAAAAGAAAATATTAGTGATCTTTGGGATAGCAGGGCGCAGAATAGAGACTGCATGGACAAAGCAAACGAGAGGAAGATAATTTGGGCCCATGGCATCACTGGTGTGGCGATCGACCTTGGCCTGCTTGCTCTACCCATCTCGCTCATCTTCCGAGTCATGAAACTTTCTGGCCAGAGAATGCAAGTGCTTCTTGTGTTTTGCGTGGGCATTGTGGCTCTGGTTGCTGGGGTTATGCGCGTGGCATATAGCATAATGATCGACTTTACTGTTGACATGTATGTATACTCTCCCCCAGTGTGGCTTTCTGCAAAAGATCCCTTCTAGAGGCCTATTTCTCTGACTTTATGGTTGCAGAACCTACAAGATATTCCTCATTGTGGTATGGGTTGCTCTAGAAGGACACCTTGGTCTCTGGACGGCGTGTTTCCCCGCCCTCCAACCTCTCTTCCGTTTGATCAACGAAAAGAGTGGTGCTAAATTCAGGTTCCCGACAGAAAAGGGGAGGAGGCTGAGTGCCCAACTGAAATGGGGAGGGAAGAGGTTGAGTACCCAACTGAACTGGGGAGGCTATTTCAACAATGCTGTAGAGAAGCTTGACAGCTCTGTCAGCTCTGAGAGCTCGGTTGCGGACAGTGTATGAGTCAGTCACAAAATGACAAGGCTGGATCCTGAAGAGACTGTATCTAATTTAAAAAAAAAAAAGGAGTATTTAAAAAGCATAACGAAACGGAATGGACTAATATAATATTTATGTATGTTATTGGGCTGCTGAACTTGGAAATTGAAGATTAAACTGAAGTATGCGACATCAAAAGCCTTAGACGTTGTAAAATCACTTTGAAGGATATTCACGTATTTTTTTAAAGGATATCACTGATAATAAAGCCTTCTAGACTTATTTTGACAAATAAGTGTAATTGAGGACCATTGTCTTTGCCAAAAACCCCCTGCCTCAAGCAAGTGATATCATTTCGCCCATGTACTTGGTGTTGATTGTGAACATATTATCTTCAAAGATGTTCACGAGAACACCCTACCTCGTGTAGAAGCGCCTCTAAACAATCTAGATGTATGAGGCTTCGACTAGGTAACCAATGGCAAAGTGGAAATGTCGTTGAACTGTTGGCCACATGATGGTGTTTGGGGCCTAGCTGGGTCAGTATCATTTCCCCACGGGACGCTGCTTCTCCCAACTTACATCATTAGGTGTATGGATGTATGGGCTGGTGTATGGATCGAAGTCTTCGAAAAGCAAGGCCGAAGCTGAGAGAAATATCGTCAGACACTGGATTACATACTGTATATCTGATGTTTTTCTTCTTTGGTGGGGATGATGACTTACGGAATCCATTGGCAGTTGCAGAGGCATGATCAGAGCATCCATATCCGCACGAGAAGGCATTCGGCTCAAGGGGCTCGCCGGTCTGGTATTGGGTCGCGAGGATTCTCACAAATGCATTCAGACCCGGGTCTGTGTAATCCTCGACAATGGCGGCAGTCCCGCTTTCCGAGTAGCCAGCCATATCCTGGTTCACAAAGGATAGAACAGTCTTGTTCTGGTTCTTGTACTCCTTGTAAACAGCAGCAGAGCCCAAAAGACCGCCTTCTTCTCCGCCATACCAATGGAACTCGAGCGTGTTCTCTGGGGCGAAGCCAGCTTGGGCAAGGACACGAAGGGACTCGAGAACTACAACGCTGCCAGACGCATTGTCATCAGCACCGGGGGACACGCTGGTAGAATTACCAGAGGTGGAGTCATAATGGGCCCCGAGAATCACTAGAAGACGGTCAGTATGAGCCCATATGCAGAAACTACTGACGGGATATTCGAACCAAGCTCATCGCTTTTTCCTGGAAGGCGGGCAATGATAGACGGCTGGTCGAACGAGTGCTCAAACTTCTCCACGGTGATGGCCGTGTTGGCAGAGGCGATCTCAGTAACTTTCGCAAACAACCAGTCAGAAGCCTCCTTCCCGGTCGCAGACTGATAGTGTCGGGTTCGGTATCTAGAGAATTTAGTCGAGGCACGTAGTGGCCCTGCTCATTGAGAGATACACACGATGCAAGATGCTCAAGCCACTCCTTTGGACCGTCGGTACTCGAGCTATCAATCAGGGCATTCGCCTCCTCAATGTGTGCTAAAGCGGATGGGTATTCGACTGCTTGAATCCCGGCCGCGTTAGTTGGCTTGGTCGACAAGGCTGCAAGGACTTCGGCGTCTTTGATGTCTGTAATATCGATGAATCCAAGGCCCTTTGAAGTGAAGAGTTCAAATTTGGCCTCCTCGCTGACCCACTGGCCAGGATCGTCCTCTGAGGTTTTCACTAGACGCAATCCCGCTTCGGCTTCCGTGGATGAGCTGGAAGCCGGAGCGGCAGATGCCAGCCGAGTTAGTACGGTAAGGGCAAGTAGATATGTTTTAAGAGCCATGTTGGGACTACGCAAATCTAGAAGAAGAAAAAATAGATGCAACTGGTTGAGATTGGTACGAGTCCGAAATCTCCTCGATCGTGGGCAGAGACTTTGTTCTATAGCTAGCCCATACGAATGTTGTCGACCCCGCTCGACTGTTGTTATGTTTCACTCGTTCAAATCCCTTGTATGGACTAGAATGAACTTCCTAAACAAGTCTCGAACCCTCCCAGGCATGCGGTTTTGTTTCATTAAGCTCAAAGATAAGGAAATCAAGCTTGCCGATCAGGCCTTGTTTTGGGCCAAGTTAAGAGGCAGCCCTCAGAATGGGCAGGTATTTGGTCATCATGTCGGAGTAAATCAATAGGTTTTGGGTATGCTTGATGATCTTCCCCGCGGATGTGTTGCAATGCTTGGGAGTGCTACGTAGCGTTGCGGCACTATAATGGGGCATTTGGTAATGTTAGGAAGGTGAACCACGGATAAATTGGAGTGTTATTACGCTGCGTGACTTGATAATGATGAAAATCATTCCCTAAAATAGAGAGAGGGGGGTGGCCCTTATTGAGTGCGAATGTCGCCATTTCGGATCTGAAGATCAAAACCTGACCCCTTTACTGCGAGAAGTAATGCGTGAGTGCTCCATGATCATCCCCTAGCTCCATCTTCCATCTCTAGACTAAACAAATGGCATTTCGGAGAATTGACCAGTGTGGTTGATGCGCGGGCCTGAAACCCTCCGATGATCCGATCATACGCGGTCTGAACAATCCCTGTTGGTTAAATCCAACGCTCCAATGTCTGGCGAGCTCGCACTCGGACCAATATCGCGTCGAGGGCTCAGTGGGCATCTCCTCCAAAGCCGTACCGAGGTCAAAGTCTCGCGGATGCCTACATTTATTATGCAGATGCCGCGCACTGGCCTCATTATGGCTATTCGGCTCGTCGATTGTTGGCGAAATCCGCCCCAAGAATTTGGAAGCCCATCAAATGTCCGGGATTCGCACTCGCACTCGTGAAATACCGTGGGTCACTGGCTGTGCATGAATACAAACATATGATACACTATAAAGAAGAGATAAATACAAGTAGAGGAATGAACTCTCAAACATTCTTCTTTACTATCTCAGAAATCTATATTATTATATGATACACGGTTGAGCCACGTTAAGCCCAGTCTCCAAAACATAAAATCGAGTACTCAAACATACTTCAATTCGAGGCTAGCCAAAAACCCTTTCTCAGACCGTTACATTTTGCCCAAATACGGAAATGGCCGAATCCGACTTCAAGATTATCATCGCCGGCGGAGGACCAGTCGGTCTAGCAGCCGCTATCGCCTTGGCCAAGGCCGGTATCGACTTTGTCCTTCTCGAGAGACGTCCCAAGGTCATCATCGATGCTGGATCGAATCTAGTTATGCTTCCAAATGGAATGAGAGCTCTCTACCAACTTGGCCTTGATGACTCTTTGGACAAGGTCAGCTCGGCACTCTCAAATGTCGATGTCGTCAATCATCAGGGCAGGTGTCTTGGTGACCTTCAGTGGCTGAATCTGCTCGAGCAAAAGTAAGAATAGAAATGCAGCTTAGCTTACCATATTTACTGACCTTTTGTTCTGGCAGCTTTGGGGCTTTCCCTAGAGTTCTCAGCCGTGAGGATCTCACCAGAATCCTCTACGAAGCTATTCCTGAGGATGCCCGGTCCAAAATCCACCTCAATAAGAAGATCTCGAACATCACTGTCGAAGGAGAAAACACCATCGTTTCCTGCGCGGACGGTACATCTTACTCGGGCTCCGCCGTAATTGGAGCAGATGGCGCACACAGCGTCGTGCGAGCAAACATGCGTGCACTTGCACTTGCTGCGGGAGCTTCAGACGTGAACAAAGAACAGCCGTTCCTCACCACGTTCAGATGCTTGTGGTTTAGAGTCCCATCATCAGCCGTCAACCTGAAGCCGGGAACCACTCTTGAAACACATGGATCAGGTGCCGCGACCCAATTGTTCGTCGGTGAGGATTCGGCCGTTATTGGGCTGTATGAGGCACTTGACGAACCGACGCGGGAGAGATTCCGCTTTACTGAGGCAGACGAAGCTGCCGTCGTTGAACGTTGGGCGAACCTCGCACTAACCGCCGGAGGTTCGCTGACCCTGAAAATGGCCTACGATCGACGAATCCAGTCTGGACTCGTGAGTCTGGAAGAGGGTGTTGCCGAGCACTGGAGCTGGGATGGGCGCATTGTCCTGGTTGGAGATGCGGCACACAAATACACACCCAGTACGGGCGCAGGCTGCAACACAGGCGTCCTAGACATTGTGACACTGGCCAACGAACTCCACAAGGTAGTTTCTTACGCAAAGGGGGGCCCACCCAGCAGACAGGCACTGGCCTCTGCTTTCAATGCGTACCAAGAAACCCGCTATGTTGGTGCGGTGGAGGGATGCCGACGTGCTGGTATGGTCACTTCCATGAACACCTGGAGGACGTGGAAGCTCTGGTTCCTCGACCAGTACGTATTTTCCTGGCACTTTGTGCAAAGATATCTAGCCAATCTTGTGGCAGAAAAACATGCATCGATGGAAGTGTTCAGCTACATCAAGGCCACCGAGAGGATGGTGGGGAGGTATTCATGGGTGAACAGTTTTCCGGCTTCTACCAAGGCCAATTGATGAAAGGTTTGGGCACGCTGTGTGTGCCATTATGATTAATCTCGTTTGGCCCGTCAGAATATAGATCACGTTTGAATTACAATTTGACTTGAAGATTATTTGTTGGTAGGGGTACACAGTACGATCAATAGGGCAGACATATGGATATAACTATCTATTTTTGTTGTCGTTGTTATTGTTTAACGTCGGTGAATCCCGATATAACTATCCATATACTTCCTGCGTTGGACATAAAGATGGACATTCTCAGCGTCAGAGTAAGGCGACGAGGCGTACAAGATTAGGATAAGCCGAACTTCAAGCACCCTCTCGATCAACTCAAGGTAGTATTGTGTAATTGCCCGTGGCCGGAGAGCAGATGTAAGCTCACCAAGCTCGGTGAATTTTCACATGCTGTCTAAGAGTCTTAGATAAGCGACTTGTCTCGTACTACCATCCTGTGGTCAGCCGTCCAGCCGAATAACCCGTCTCACACACCAAGAAGCGTCATGTCTTGAGCTCTGATTGGAAACACGTCCATGATCAGCTGGACTAAGACGGGGAATACAAACAAGAT